CCCGTGGAAGAAAGAGTCCATCATCAGGCCGCAGAGCCCTTCTGCTCCGGGCAAGCATGCGAGCCCATATCGCACCGCATGCACAGGTGTCCTCTTCAAGAATGCGGAGGGCGCTCGCGGACCTCTGGCCAGCCGAGGGCTTCGCGCGCCTGGAGAAGCCCCCCCTGGACCCGAACAACTTCGAGGGCGAAATGCCGTAACACTCGGAACCGTAATTTGAAACGGGGAAAGGGCCAGCCACCCGCAAACGCGCGACGCGGCGCCCCAGAGCCTCAGCAAACCTGTCCTGCCGGGTTGCGCGTCGCAGACCATTGCTGACGCGCGTTTCTTGGCCCTGGCGTTTCGACCTCTCTGCCTGGCGGGCAGCCCCTGGGCGTCATCGACCCTGAGATGAATGCCCGACGAGACCTGGAGGCCAGAACAGTCAATTCCCGAAGCGTCCTCGATCTGCAGGCCAGCGGCGCCTGACGAGCAGATGAGCGAAGCCTTGTCGGCCGAAAGCGTCGCGCCGATGACCTCCGCGGTACTCTCCAGCGCTCGAACTCCGCGAACAACTCCATCGACCGCATCTCGCAGACGGCCCACGGCAGCAATGGAACCATTGCCAATGTGGAATTTGAAATCAATGTGAGGGTGCCATGAGACACCGTCAAGCGGGCTGGTCGAATTGATCCTGGCCGTGGTAGTGGGCATTGAAGAGCCTGCCACCGCTCCACTCCAAGCGTGCGCAGCCTCAGATATCATAGACTGCAAATTCAAACGCCTGGCCGAGGAGCACGCCTGGATGGGGAGGCGGCTGATGGCGAGGGGGGAGCCATACTGAACGCACCTAGCTTGCAACGCGTCGATTGGGGGGACTCGTACTACCTCACCCAGATCCCACAAAAGGTTACATGACAGAAGACCCTCGGACGCTCTGGCCTCAGCCTTGACCAACTGGCGCCTGGCAGTGCCCCCCCGCCCGAGAGAACGCGCCAGCAGCCAAGTAAGGGCGCTGGTGGGTGCGTTCCCGCTCATCAGCCCAGGGCCTGCGCGATTTGGCCCAAGCTCGTTAGGGGGAGTAGAAGACTCAGAAGACTCCGATGGGTCTGGCGCCAGCTGGCTGCTCGGGAATCATATGCCTCGCGACGAAGGCAATCTTAGCAGGGAGGGGACAAGCGGCTTCCATGCCGAGGAAGAAGGAGAGAAGACATCCCAATCCTTCGCGGCAGAACCGGCCCAGGTCTCGCACGTGAGATCCGCCGGGAGCCGCGGCCGTTCGTTGCTTGACTTCCAAGCGCATCTTCCTGAAGGAGTCGAAGTCGAAGAGGGGGGGGGGGGCGGGGGCGGGGCGCAGGGGGGGGAAAGGGCGGGGTGGAAAGGTTTGGGGGGCGCTCCAGCGCCCGTGCAAGCGACGCGCTCCCGCCGAGAGCAAACTTGGGGAATCTCGCTCGCCCACTTGCAAGTCGCCGCCCGACCTCGCATGGCCGCCCTGAGGGGGCAGGGGCCCCGGCCGCGCCGAGACTGAGAGGCTTGGTTTCTGGAGGCTTGCTCGCGGGAGCCCAAGACCTCGCGAACGGTGCAACGAAACGCACTGAGACGACAGCCACGCCCCTCCGGCCACGCCGGTCGGGCCCGCGCGTGATCGACGCCTGGGGCATCCCCTAGGGGGGGCAAGCGACTGCCTTGATGCTCGGTGGCGCGCGGAGGAAGGGCGAGGCCGTGACGCGTGGAATCCGGGAGGCCGTCCTAGGTCGGTCGCTGGACCGAGGGCTCCAGCATGGGGAAAACAGCTCCCCAAAGCCACCGCGTCGAGACGAGCTCGGGCTGGCGAGATAAAAAGTGCACGGGGCCCCAGGCGGCCTCGGGCAAGGCCCCCCCTGGGCCGCCCGCACAGGCAGCTCAACTCCAGCGGCTTCCGCAGCATCCTTTTCCGCGGCGTCGGCCCACTTCTGGCTGGCCGAGCAAGCGGGCGTTGGGTCCGAGGGCCCTCCCCAGCCTGGGCAGCAACCAGCGCTTTGTCGAGCGTGGCCTGCGCGGCCTGGTAGCAGGGCGGTGGGCCTATCGGACCAATCGCCCGATCGCTGGGAGTCTGCGCTTCAGCAACGCAGCCTTCAGCTGCCCATGCCGAGGAAAGACCGCGACCCTCGTGGGCCAGCGGGGCGAGATATCCCCATCCGATGTCCTAAGAAAGATCCTGCACAGCACTGCTGAGGCCAGGGTTAGCACTAAAATTGTCGCCCATCCCCATCCCTCCCTGCGTCGCGCATGTCCGTGAGCAGCGAGGAGCTGCGATGCCACCTCCCCGCATTGCTTAGGACACTCGTGATCGCGCAGAAGATCGGGGCCGAAGCCGACATCTCCGCTGGCGAGAACAGGGCGGCAGTTGGCGGTGGCCGCGAGGCCCGCGTCGGCGATGAGCTGCTGGTTTGTGTCCTCTAAACCTTTGCAGACGTAGCGAACGATATATGGAGGTGGCGCGAAACCCCGCGTCGCCCGGGATCGCCGCGATGCCAGACAAGACGCGGGGGGCGGCCGAGGGGGTGGTGGCGGAGCGATGGAGGCGCGAAAACGTCCGAACGAAAAGATCGCCGCTCCGCCCGTGCCGCCTCTCCCCGCGCCAGGGGCCGCCGGGCCCCGCGCGGCTCTGCGCCCGCGTCTCGACGACGAATCGGAAGCCTGGGAAATCATTTCCCCCGCCAGGGCTCGATGCTCTTGCATGCGCACTGCGGGGGCAGTCGCACTGTGGAGGTTCATCTGCCGCGACCCCCACCAACGCTTGCCCTTTGAAAGCTCAAGGCGGGAGAAACAAGAACCTGCGGGACCGAAGAGGAGCGAGGAGGCCCCTGGCGAGGAGAGGGGGGACTGGGGCGCGCTTGACCGCCAGGCTCACGGCCGGGCAGATTCGGACCTACAAACTTACGACGCAGCATGCACGCCCTGTGCTTGACCCAGGAGAGCCGAGCCCAGGAACCAGAAACGCGCGAAGTAGACCTCTGGGGGCCGACCCAACCGTTGGTTTGAATCCATTGAAAGATCCCTTGCCCCAGGATGGGGCCTCCTGCTCAGCCTTCCCTTCGGCGGGGGTGGGGGCGGCGGAGATCTGCGACCCCCCCCCCCCCCTTCGGGTCGGGCGAGGGGGGGGGGGGGGGGGGGGGCGCGGATAAGGGAAATGGGGCGTCACTCCCAGATCAGGCGATCGCAAACATGGATCAAGGGGTTGTGGATTAGCGACGGGTCCCGCTTCCATGATAAATCGCGGATCTCCGCCGGCGAACGTGGCCTGGTCGCACGCGCGTTCCGCGGCGTCTCGGGTGGCGCGCCTGGCGGCTGAGTCTGCTTCATTGAGCGGCAGAGACCTGCGCTGGTAGGCCTGCGGTGGCCCCGCCCCCGCAGCGGGCCCCGGAAAAGCGGAAGCGGTGGCCGAACCACCTCTTCCACCAACTGGCTCACTGCGCTGCTCAGCATGTCCACCTGGTGTTTTGCCGTCAACAGGGTTGTCCAGAGAAAGTCTGGTCTGCTCTGCAATCGCTTCACCAACTGTTGGTGCTCGGGCTGCGCAGTTTCGAGGTTCTCCGAAGCTGATCCTCAAAACTTGGGAACTGTCGTACGAATCACTCCTTAAAGAAAATCAGCTCTCTGGTGAGCTTCCTTGCGCACGTATTCGTGGACTTCGTATTCGTCCGCGTCCAATTGTACGACAGGGCCTGCGAAGCTGGTAGATCACATTGTCCTCCAACATGTCGCCAATGCTGATCGACGTCGATGGGCCGCGAATTTTGGCCCTGGCATCTCCTGGGGCAACTTTCCGGTTGAGTTCACGAGCGGGACGAGTGTGGTTCCTTTCCGCTGAATCCAGGTCAGTGGTGGGCTGCTGGACCCACCCCCGCTGCTTGTCCAGATGCGCTCTTGCCTTGTTGAAAGACGTGATTACCCTGCTGCACCCTGCTGCCCAAACCGCGAGCAGGAACTCGTGCTTGACTCACTCTGCTCTTGCAGAGGTGGGACGTGTGAAGACACAGCAAACTTTGCCCTCGTCACTTCTGGTCGAAAAACTTCTGGTTCGCGCGCACCTGCGAGCCCCGCTTGCGCAGCGACGTAGCGAGTGCGCGCGCGCACGCCCCCCCCCCCTTCGCGCGCGCCTGCCGCAAGACGCGCACCGCGCGCGTCGCCTGCCGGCCGCGCGCGGCCTCCCGCTGCCCCGCGTGTGTCTCAATTTTTTATATACAATTGGCGATGATGCCGTCGGTGTCCTCGACCGTCGCAGCGTCCGACAGGGGGGAGCGGCACCGTCGGGTGGTCACCCCGAAGAGGGCGCCCAACATGGAGGTCAAGGGCGAGCAGGGCAAGGAAGCCGAGCATCTGTGTCAGAAGCACGCCACCGACCTTCGACCTGCGGCCACGGCGTGCGCGATCTCCAGTCGTGCTCCGCTTTCTGCTCGGAAGGCAAGTTGCTGTCCCGCTCCGTCTTACGGTGCTTGCACCTCCACCATTGCTGCCTGTTTCTCTTGCACCCGCAGTTGTCGCACGTCCAATGCTGGTTCCGATCCTGTTGGCATCTGTCGGCGTACCCATTCGAGTCGGACACGACATGGCGCGAAAATGACACACACACGCTCCCTAGAGAGAGGCACTCACGACTCCCAAAGTTGGCAGAGCGCCGGTCTCGAAGCAACTCAAAGAAGGAGAACGGAAGGAAGTAGGGAAGACGCTCGCGATTCCTTTGAGCAAGGACCGACCGCATTCCTACAGTCCTACCACGAAATGTTTTTATAACCCAAAAATGGTTTAGTAACAAAACAATGTTTTTTTATGACATAAACCCGATGTGATAAAACAAAACAGACTCCACCAGAAATGTTCTAAGAACAGTTCATGGAAACTACATAAAGTTCTTAGAACATTGTTTGGTAAGGCTATGGGCGAGCCAGGACGCTTTGCCACTGCTTGACTGTTGCTTTGCATCCTTCCTCCTCCTCCTACCCTCCACCAGCGAGAGGGGCCGCGATCTCCCCGCCGGCCTCCGCGAGAGCCGCTGTCTGCCCCTGGCCGAGGGCGCACCACTGGACCTCGTTGCGGGGGGGTGGGGCGGAGGGAAGAAGACGGGGGGAGTAAGGGGTAAGATCGGATGGAGAAATCATGACCTCCTCGCGTGGTGGCGACAAAAACTAAAAAGCGCAGGGAGGCTGAGGAGGGGAAGGAGAAATGAGGAAAAGGAGAAGGGACGAGGATGAGGAGGACTGGGGCGGATGACAGATGGAGGAGCGAGGATGATGTCAGGAAAGGACTGGGTCCGAATATGGTGAACACCTTCTGTCCCGTGACTGACCATACGCAAACATACCGCTAACAAGAAAGACACGTCCAAAACAGTGTAAGTATCGGAGCGTACTTTCTACAATTCGGTATATGTACACAGAACATGGCATGCACCGATATTGCACGTAGACAGAATGACATGTGTGCATACAAATAGAAGGTCAGAGGTGAGGGAAAACACAAAACAAGACAGAGAGGCATACACACAGACATACATATAACGATATAGAGGGGCAGCACAGAAAGAGAGACAGAGAGAGAGAGAGATAAAGAGAGAGGGAGAGATAGTGATGTACAGAAAGAGAGAGAGAGAGAGAGAGAGAGAAAAAGAGAGAGAGAGAGACAGAGAAAAAGATAAGCACGAGGATGGAACGAAGAACGACGAGCCGACTGAGACAGCCTGCGGCGGCTTCTGGGTGCGAAGCCACCTCTGCTGGCACTGGCCACCTGAAGTTCTTACTGAGGTGCCACCGGGTCGTCGAACAAAAACATTATCGCCTACAAGTCTCCTCTGCTGCTCCTCCTCCTCCTCCTTCTCCTTCACCTCCTCCTGCTCCTCCTCCTTCCCGCCCGCTCTTCCCCTCTTATCCTTATCATTCAAAATAAGCATGGGAGAAATGGGTACTGGAGGAAACGGGTCTTGCAGTTTGTTCTCCCCGTTTTCTGCCTCTGGGGGCCCTCCCTGGGCCCCCGCGGCGTCAACAAACGTGTCGGCATAAAAATGCTGGTCCTGGGGAAAACCCTGGAGTCCAGGACCGGGTTTCTTCAGGAACCCTTTCTTTAGAGACCCCACAAATGGGGTCCGAGTACATTGGGACGGACCATCACCGAAGAATCAGCGATGCATCGGCGACGCTGGCGTGGTAAAAGTCGGGCCCACATCGAGCAGCATCGCCGATGCATATCAGCCATGTCGAGCGATCCTCCGACCCCATCTAATCGAACCCCAGTGGGGAGGCCTGGATTTCTTGTGGTAAGGCTTCGGGCTGCGCACAGACAGCCCCTCCAAGTAGTCCCAGCACCCCCCCGAGTTCCCAGGGCGGTCTCGACATCTCGCCCTGGGACGCGGAGCGCCCCAAGGGCGCCGCCAGAGGCGGCGCCATGATGTTGGGGGGGGCTCTGGGTGCAACACAGAGCCGTATCAATTCTTCTGTGGCAATCTACTCCCCTTCACCCCTCCTCCAGCAGAATCCCTTCACCCGTAGGGGCTGCTCCTGCTCCAGAAGCCCCACGGGGAGGGTGCAGCTGCAGGAGAAGCAGCAGGGGGAGAAGGAGGCAGAGAAGGAGAAGGAGTAGGAGGAGGAGGAGGAGGAGGAGAAGGAGGAGGAGAGAACGAGGAGAGGACGAGGAGGATAGGGAGGCGGAGGAGGTAAAAGAGGCAGAGGAAGAGGAAGAGGAGGCAGAGGGAGGAGGAGGATGAGGAGGACAAGGACCCTGGTGGCTTCCAGTGACTTCTGGGGACCCCTGGCCCTTATGAGCCGCTGGAAACCTCGCGGGGGGGATCGGATCAGCCGTCCACGACGGAAGGGTCAATCCCTCTCTGTCGTGTGAGCGCCGAGCCCACTTGGGACCAACGCTCGAAACCGCCCTCGCAGCGGGCTCAACCTCACCTTGGGCACACGACTCCGAGGGGAAGGACATTGAAAAGATCCGTGTGGCTCCAGAGACCACACAATCAACGATATCAATTCGCAGAACACACGTGGTGCTCCAGAGGCCACCAACAAAAGAAACCAACGGATGAGGGAGAGGGGCAGAGCACCACTGTCGCTGTGTCGAAGGCTCGGCGTCCCAAGCAACGCCTGGGGGCCTGGCGCCAGCAAGGAACGACCCGCGGGCCCGCGTCGCGATCGCGAGGACAATCACGCAGCGCCCTTCTAGTTCTTATAGTGTTTCCTCTTCGACGTGGGCCCCGAGCCACAACAGAAGCTCTCGCCCCACTCCTCGGGACAGCTGCTTTCTTGTCGCGCGGGCCAGTTTCTGATAGCCCACGGGCCTGAACTTGGCCCCCCGTAGGCCGAGACAGCACGAGAATGCCCGTCGTGATCTCTTGCGACGGCGGAAGCATACCCTCTCTGCAAACACACGTACGGCGTGTACTCGGACATCCTCGCGCCATGAGAAAATCACGATTGCGTTTGGCAGTTGTCGGCTTCCAGGAGCCCTTCCCGGGCCGTTGGGCCATCAAACCGCAGCTTAAGATGCGCGAGACTCTGGGAAAAGGTCCAGACCTCCGGGGAGCCATGCTGTGAGCCGTTCGCGACGTCTGATACCTGGCTCACCCCAAGCACAAAGCCCCCAAAGAACCTGACTTACGATGCCTCGACACGCCCGGAAATCTCGATCATCGATCCTCTGACGACAAGCCCAGGAGGGACGAGAAAAGGGGCGGGCCTTCTCAGCAGGCTCGGAAATCCCCCGACCTTCTGAGAAGTTCCCTAAGGCCTCCCTGAAGACACAGAAAACCTCTCCAGAGGCCTTCTGAGAAGCCCCGCCGCCTTCTGAGAAGGCCTTCTCCTTCCCACGTCCCCCCGTCGCTTGCTGCCGGCCCTCGCAAAGGGACAGAAACTGTCCGACACGAAGTCGCGGATTTCTTGCGTCGGCGCTGCACCCCCCTTTTGGCGCGTCTCGCGCGCCAGGGGCGGCGCCGCAGGCACTGCCAGGGGGAGTCGAGCGCCGACCCGAGAACTCCGCGCGGACCTCCGACAGATCATGCTTGCGCCGCTCTCTGTTTTTACCTAACAGTGAAGACTGATAGGTTTCTAATGATCTCAAAAGAAAGCATCATGACTCCCCAGGGGGGTCCGGGCAGGATCCGGGGAGAATCCGCGGAAGTCGTTTGAAGCAAACAGTTACACACTTCGTGGTCTTCGAGGTCCCAGAACTCCATTCCCGGGCCACATTCTGAATGCCCGGAGCCAACTGTAGGCCATTTCGTGCTCTTCGAGTTCCCAGAACTCCATTCCCGGGCCACATTCTGAATGCCCGGAGCCAACTATAAGCCACTTCGTGCTTTTCCAGTTCCCAGAACTCCATTCCCGGGCCACCTTTTGAATGCCCGGAGCCAACTGTAGGCCACTTCGTGGTCTTCGAGTTCCCAGAACTCCATTCCTGGGCATGATTTTGAATGCCCGGAGCCAATTGTAGACCACTTCGTGTTCATCGAGTTCCCAGAACTCCTTTCCCGGGCCACACTTTGAATGCTGAGGCAGGCTGATGCTGAGGCTGAGGCAGGCTGAGGCTGAGGCAGGCTGAGGCTGAGGCCGAGGCTGCAGGCAGACTGAGGCTGAGGCTGAAGCAGGCTGAGGCTGAGGCTGAGGCAGGCTGAGGCTGAGGCTGAGGCAGGCTGAGGCTGAGGCTGAGGCAGGCTGATGCTGAGGCAGGCTGAGGCTGAGGCTGAGGCTGATGCAGGCTGAGGCTGAGGCAGGCTGAGGCTGAGGCCGAGGCTGAAGGCAGACTGAGGCTGAGGCTGAAGCAGGCTGAGGCTGAGGCTGAGGCAGGCTGAGGCTGAGGCTGAGGCTGAGGCTGATGCTGAGGCAGGCTGAGGCTGAGGCTGAGGCTGATGCAGGCTGAGGCTGAGGCAGGCTGAGGCTGAGGCCGAGGCTGAAGGCAGACTGAGGCTGAGGCTGAAGCAGGCTGAGGCTGAGGCAGGCTGAGGCTGAGGCAGGCTGAGGCTGAGGCTGAGGCTGATGCAGGCTGAGGCTGAGGCTGAGGCTGAGGCCGAGGCTGAGGCAGACTGAGGCTGAGGCTGAAGGGCTGAGGCTGAGGCTGAGGCAGGCTGAGGCTGAGGCTGAGGCTGATGCTGAGGCAGGCTGAGGCTGAGGCTGAGGCTGATGCAGGCTGAGGCTGAGGCTGAGGCTGAGGCCGAGGCTGAAGGCAGACTGAGGCTGAGGCTGAAGCAGGCTGAGGCTGAGGCTGAGGCAGGCTGAGGCTGAGGCTGAGGCAGGCTGAGGCTGAGGCAGGCTGAGGCTGAGGCTGAGGCTGATGCAGGCTGAGGCTGAGGCAGGCTGAGGCTGAGGCCGAGGCTGAAGGCAGACTGAGGCTGAGGCTGAAGCAGGCTGAGGCTGAGGCTGAGGCAGGCTGAGGCTGAGGCTGAGGCTGAGGCTGAGGCTGAGGCTGAGGCTGAGGCAGAGGCTGAGGCTGAGGCTGAGGCTGAGGCTGAGGCTGAGGCTGAGGCTGAGGCTGAGGCTGAGGCTGAGGCAGCAGGCTGAGGCTGAGGCTGAGGCAGACTGAGGCTGAGGCTGAGGCTGATGAGGCTGAGGCTGAGGCTGATGCAGGCTGAGGCTGAGGCTGAGGCTGAGGCTGAGGCTGAGGCAGACTGAGGCTGAGGCTGAGGGCTGATGAGGCTGAGGCTGAGGCTGAGGCTGAGGCTGAGGCTGAGGCTGAGGCAGGCTGAGGCTGAGGCTGAGGCTGAGGCTGAGGCTGAGGCTGATGCAGGCTGATGCTGAGGCAGGCTGAGGCTGAGGCTGAGGCTGATGCAGGGTGAGGCTGATGCAGGCTGAGGCTGAGGCCGAGGCTGAAGGCAGACTGATGCTGAGGCTGTGGCTGAGGCTTAGGCAGGCTGAGGCTGAGGCAGGCTGAGGCTGAGGCTAAGGCAGGCTGAGGCTGAGGCTGTGACTGCGACTGCCGTTGCCACTGCGACTGTCATCACGAATGCGACTACGACTGCGAGAACAGCAGCATTCTACAACTGGATTATCATCTGAATCTTAAGGGGAATGCTTCCAGATATGCTCCTACACATCGCTGTGAGGTTGCTTTGCCGGGGTAATTAGTTCATCGGTCGCTGGCGGCGGCGGCGACGACGACAACGACTTCGACAAGGGCGTAGTTAGAAAGGTGGGCTAGACGGCGCGGGCGCGCCTTGATGGCAGCGAGCAGGTTGCGGTACTGCACCCGCTCGCCGAACTTCCCCGCGCTGCGCAGCAATGCGCCCCAGTCGAACTCCGCGCACACCGCCTGCTCCAGCTCCTGCAGACGCGCCCGAGCTGGCCTGCAAAAGCGGAGTCCTGGAGACTCCTCGCCTGCTTCGGGCCTCCGGGGGCCCTCCACGGGGGGTCGCTCGGCCGAAAAGCAGCGACTCGGGATGGAGAGCTGACCTTGGTGGAGGCCCTGGGGTCTGGTACCCCTTAACCTCAAGACACCTTTTCCCCCCGGGGGGCCTAAGAAGCCAAGACACGCGACCCTCGAACTTCGATCCCTCTCCTCCTGCAGGGAGAAAACGTGGAGGAAGGAGGGAGGACGGAAAGGAGGACGATGACGGATGAAGGAAGAAACGGAGGAGGAAAAAGGGGGGAAAGAGGTGGAAGAGGAGGAGGAGGAGGAGGAGGAAGAGGAGGAGGAGGAGGAGGAGGCGTGGAGAAGATTATACGGAGGGAGACCAGGAGGAAGAGGGGGAGGCAGAGGTGTGGAGGGAGGAGAAGCAGGAGGGGGGGGAGGTGTGGAGGGAAGAAACCACGATGAGTACGATGAGGAGTACGAGGAGGAGGGGTACGAGGAGGAGGAGGAGGAGGAGGAGGAGGAGGAAAGGAAGATGGAGTCCTCCACAATCGCATTGAAGCCCAGGTGGCCCTGGTTGTGGACGTCCAGAGCGTTGCAGCCTCGGCAAACATAGCGCCCCCGCACAGGCGTGAGGGACGACGACGCCGAGGACGATTCAGATGATGATGATGGTAATAATTATGGTGATGCTGATGGTGGTGATGAGAAAGAGCGTGTTCTACCGCTGCTGGCGGAAAACCGGGGGGGGTCACTACCGGTTCGAACCCGATCCCCCCCCCCCCCCCTCCGGAAAGGGGGGGGTCACTACCGGTTCGAACCCCTCCCCCCCCCCCCAGCTCATCATGAAAAGGGGGGGGGGTCACTACCGGTTCGAACCCCTCCCCCCCCCCCTCTCGAAAACCCAGTGGGGGTGCGGACAGAGGTGGGGACGGTGTTGGTGGGACAGTGGTGAGGGGACAGCGGGACAGTGGTGGGGACAGTGGGACAGTGGGACAGTAGAGGGCCGGTAGTGGTGGGGACAGTGGTGAGGACAATGGTGGGAACAGGGGGGACAGTGGACAGTGGTGGGGACGGTGGTGGTGGTGACAGTGGTGTGGGCACAGTGGGAATGAGGTGGAAACAATGGGACAGTGGAGGGTACAATGGTGGTGGGGACAGTGGTGAAGGCGGTGGCGAGGACGGCGGTGGGACAATGGGACAGAGGTACAGTGGGGACAGTGGTGGGGACAGTGGGGACAGTGGTGGGAACAGTGGGACAGCTCAGTGGGACAGCGGAGGAGTCAGTGGGACAGTGGGGACAGTGGGGATAGTCGGGCAGTGGTTGGGGCCGTGGAGACAGTGGGGAGAGTGGAACCGTGGTGGGAACAGTGGTGGGGACAGTGGGGACAGTGCGACAGTGGTGGGGGCACTGGTGGGGACACAGTGGGGACAGTGGTGGTGAGGACAGTGGTGCTGGGAACAACAGTGGAGGATGTGATGCGGACGGTGGTAGGGACCGGGAGTCGTTTGCTGGCGGTGAGTGGGGGGGTGGGGAGGGGTTCGAACCGGTAGTGATCCCCCTCCGGTTTTCGAGGGGGGGGGGGGGGGGTTCGAACCGGTAGTGACCCCCCCTGGTTTTCCGGATCCGGAGGGGGGGGGGGGGGGGGGGGGGGAGGGGTTCGAACCGGTAGTGACCCCCCCGGTTTTCGAGGGGGAGGGGGGGGGGGGGAGGGGTTAGGGGAGGGGGGGGAGGGGGGGGGTTTTGCCGGGGGAAGGGGTGGGGGGGGGGGAGGGGTTCCAGCAGGGGGGGGGGATTTTCGGAGGGGGGGGGGGGCGACCCCCGGGTTCCGGAGGAAAAGGTTGGCAATTTTCCACAGTAAAGCGGCGGTGGATCACGCTCTCTCGGTGATGATGATGCTGATGCTGATGCTGATGATGCTGACGACGATGCTGCTTATGATGATCATGATGGTGATGATGATGGCGATGGCGAGGAGGATCACAATGATGATGATACGGATGATGATGATGATGATGATGATGATGATGATGATGATGATGATGCTGCTGCTGCTGCTGCTGCTGCTGCTGATGCTGCTGCTGCTGCTGCTGCTGATGATGATGATGATGATGATGATGATGATGATGGTGGGGGTGGTGATGGTGGTTGTGGTGACGGTGATGAGGACCATCATCCGAATAAGAGAGCCGACCCGTCATTCACTGTCCCTGGGTGAGTGGCTGAAGCGGGCTTCCACGGTGCGGATTGTTGTTGTTGTTGCTGCTCTTGCTGCTGCTGCTGTTGCTGTTGTTGTTGCTTTTAATGTTGTGTTGTTGTTGCTGTTGCTGTTCTTCTTCTTGCTGTTGTGATGAGCTCTCATTACTGAAGAATTAGTATTGTTGATCCCCCCTCCATTGACATAGGTGTTTTTTGATTGAAGTGCCCTTCCCCGGGCTCGCATCCTTTTTTCTACAAAGGGAAGTCTTCCTCCTCAAACTGCATTGTTGCTCCCCCACCTACAACAACAGCGGCTCCCGCATGATACTTCCTCATAATTGATTCCGAAAGTGCGCTCTCGTGCGGGACTTCCTCACAATTGACTCTGGAGTCGCGCTCTCGCGTGGGACTTCTTCTCAATTTATTCAGACGCCGCGCCCTCGACATTCAGGAGTCACGCTCTCGCTGTGGATTTCCTCACGATTGATTTGAAACTCGAGCTGTCGCTCCAGACTTCTTCACGATTCATGGAGGACGCACGCTTCAGCAACCCGCCTGCTCGACCTGGCCGCCTTGGCCCTCCTTCCCGACCCGCCTGGTAGGGTCTACCCGCGCGATCTGCCCGCCTGGTTCTGCCACGTGTTTTCTGCTCCTAGCCCCCCTTCTCCTAGTCTCTCTCGTGCTCCATCCTCCTCCCTCCCCCTTGTCCCTTCCTTCCATCCGTCCTCTCTTCCCCTGCCTCAGGGGCTGCACGAAATACACGTTGCAGGTACGAAAGATATACCCCCAAGGGGGTACAGTCGAAGACGAAGAGGGCGGGTATCGAGGGTTCGGGATAGACGTGTTGAATGGCACGCGAGCAGATAAGAGCGAACACTGTAAAAATTATTATTGCTGTTATTGCTGATGTTTGTTGTTGTTTGGTGTCGTCGTCCCGCCCGCGCCCTGGCCCGCGACCCACCCGCGACCGCCACGTCACTCTTATCCGCCACTGCGGGGTGCTACATACTGTAGTGGTGATGGCGATCCAGTGCCGCCGAACAGGTCTGGAACACTCGGTCTACGCAGCCTGCCGAGACGCCGGCTTCACCCGCGTGGTCGGCAAGAAAACGTCGAGCGTGAGGGCTGCTTGCCGCCGAAGCAGACGGCACACAGCCCACAGAACAACCGCAGCTGCTCAGCTCTCGCCGACGGCGCCCCGGTCTGCAACCGTTAGACAGCGCGCGGTGCCTCGGCGGCCCCGGCGACGCGGTGTGCCCTGCGAGTGGAGGGCGTGTCGACCTCGCTCCGCGGGGCGCGACTCTGGGCGAGGGCTCGGGACATTCGACGCCTCCGCAGTGGACAGCGGGTCGGAGCTCCCCCCGGCGGCGCTCCGGACAGGCACCGCGGCCGCCCCGAGAGGGCAAGGCGGCGGCAGCAGCCCGCCGATGTACCTCTCCGAGGAGGGAAGACGGGCGGCGCGGGCCGCGGAAGGAGAGGCACGCTCTCGCAGCAGAGGGCGGACCAGGAAGGCAGGGCTGTCAGCTCAGAGATCAACGCATCCGAATCTTTGCGAGACACCGCACCCCCCGAGCAGATCGGGACCCACGGAACACGACGCCACGGCGAAGGGCAACCCGGCCACCGCCAGCAGCTGCGGCAGAGGTACAGCGGAGCAGCAGCAGGAGAAGCACGCGGGAGGAAACGCACAGCAGCAGCACCAGCGACGACCGCAGCAGCATGGTGGGCACACAAGGGGGACACCAGAGAACAAACACAACAACGAGGACCCTACAAGCACATCGAGCGGAACGCTCGAGCTTGTCAGGACCTCGCGCACGCGAGTGCAAGCAAAGCAAGGGCAGCTGTGCCCAGGTTTCGAACCGCCCTCTCAGCGAGGCCCTCAGCTGAGAGCAAGCTCGAAGCACCAAGGAATGAGGAGACGAGCAGACTGACCATTGGGAATACGGACAGGTTGTATGGCAGCCCGAATCGGGGGATGGCGCTGCACCAGCAGCCTCAACCTGCCTTCAAAGATGCGTCCCACCGACGTCCCAAGCGGAACGGTCCGCAACCGCCACCAAGGGCGGGCGCGAGCGAAGCACTCGACCAGCGTGCAGAGGGCATCATCGCGCTTGGTGTCGGGAACCAGGCCGTCGACCCAGCAGGGAGCGAAGACGGGGGCGGCGAAGCTAAGCAGAAAAAGGGGGCGGGCCCTGATCGACAAGAGACCAGCAGCACGGGGGGCCTTGCTGGTAGTGGCGCAGATCGTCGGGGCACCCGCGGGGAAATTTGGGCGTCCTGGGGCCGTACTCTTGGGCCCCATGGGACCCTTATAAAACGGCTCAGGATAAAAAGCCGGCCCCCGGGAGGGGGTCCAATCCACTGGGGAGCCGCACAATGATAACAAAAAAAACACGACGCCGGACGTCTGGGGTTGCTCTGGGGCTTCACCCCGAGGCTCTCGAGGCAATCCGTGCTCTCGCCCACTGAGTGGGGCAGGTGCGCCTGGGACGGAAGATGGACCCTAGGGAGGCCAGGGGACCGCCGCCCGGAACCGACGAGCAAGGCCGCGGTCATCCTCGGGGCGACGGGCGCCGTACCGCCGCGCACCGAGAGGACGGTCCTCCTTCTCCTCCTCCTCCTCCTCCTCCTCCTCCTCCTCTCCTCCTCCTACTCCTCCTCAATTGAGCGAGGGAGGCGGGCGTGGCAGCGTACAAACTGCAGACGCTGCAAGGCCACCCGCCGATGCCAGAGACATGGAACGGCGTGTGCTCCGCCAAAGCCAAGGAGTCCTTGCTTTCCTTCTTCGGGGCCGCGCGCAGAGGAGCCGAACCAGCTGAGGTCGCCAGCTCCTGGCTGGGGCGCGGCGATGGCCTGCGCAAAGCGGGCCAACACATCGAGCGTGAGCTTAGCAGACTTCACATCGGCAGCTTGGCACTCGACTAGCGTCTTTAGCAGCGGCAGGAGGCTCCGAGCCCAACCTGGCAAACAGACCTGCCCACATGTTCTCTGGGAGATGAATGATCTCCGACGGACTGCGCAAGCAGAAAGCCTCGTCCCACTCACGATTCGAGGGGGTCCAGGAGAAAGGTCGGAGTGGGATCACCGTCTTTGCACAAAGCGAACCTATTTCTCCAGATGCAGGTGTGCTTAGAGCTACTGAAGGACAGAAGGGGGTCCCCAAACTCACCTTCCCTAACATCACCCAAACGGTCCGAAACGGCCTGGGCGTTCAGGGCCAATCCGAAGCGCCTGGAGAATCGCAAACCGCTCCGCCCGAGGCACCGACTGGCACCGCCCAGGGCGAGCGCCGTACACGGCACGGGTCGGGAGCCCGCTCGGGGCCAACTCCACCGCGAACCATCCACACCGCCTAAATTCGGGACTGGCGCTGGCCAGTCCCGAGCCCTCAGACCTGCGCTCCAAGACGTCCTCAGGCATACATTGGTCCTGTGACCTATGGGTCTGCCAGGGCAGGGTTGACGAGAGAGGGGGCGGGTGGGGGAGCGAGGAGGGAGAGGAGGAGGGGGGGAAGGGGGTTCTCATGAGGCAATGTGAGCGAGAAGAGGGGCGGGGAGATGGGAGAGGGGAGGAGCGGACACGACATGGGGGTGGGGCATCAAACCATGGGGGGGGGACACCCGAAAAACACACCAGCCCTTCCCCAGCCGTCCATCCATGTGGTGACGATGTCCTGGGCCGATTCGCCCACGACTCTCCTGCGAGGTGTCGTCGACGTGCTGCACCGACAGCACGACTGGGGGGGACACCCGAGAAACACGCCAGCCCTTCCCCAGAAAAGGGGGAGGCCCGCGGGCCGCCACTGCCCTGCGGGGCAGGGGGGGGGGGGGGGCACCGCCGCCCCCCCCCCCCCGCTCGGTGGCCGGACGCCCCGCGGCCCCCTGCCGGCCAGTGGCGCACTGCATGCCTCCCCGTCGGCGCGATCGACCTCCACGGGGCGCTGAAGAAGGAACCCTTTTCGTTTGGGAGGGGCTCGGTGTTCCTTGATTGTTTCATAATTTGCCTCGGGTTTTCCTGAGGTTTTCCATGGGTGATCCTTGATTGTTTCATAATTTGCCTCGGGTTTTCCTGAGGCTTTTGGACGTCAGGGTGTTCAAACGAATGCCTTTGGACCGTTCGACGTCCAAAGGGGCTGTCGAACGAATGGACCAAAGGCTGTCGACCGAAAGCCTCTGGACGACAAGGTGTTCGAACGAATGCCTTTGGACCGTTCGACGTCCAAAGGGGCTGTCGAGCGAATGGACCAAAGGCTGTCGACCGAATGCCTTTGGGCGACAAGCTCGCAAGGGGTTCTGTCGCCCTCCGCCTCAGGCTGGGCGCGACGCGCCTGAAGAAGGAGCCCTTTTCGCTTGGGAGGGGCTCGGTGTTCCTCGATTGTTTCATAGTTTGCCTCGGGTTTTCCTGAGGTTTTCCATGGGAAATCGAGGTTGAACTTATGGGAAAAAGGGGCCTCGTTCCTTATTTAGGGTTCCTTAGGTCAACGCCCCGACTGTAGGGACTGTCGACCGAAAGCGTTTGGACGACAAGCTCGCAGTGGGTTCTGTCGCCCTCCTCCGCCTTTTGCTGGGCGCGAGGCGCCCGAACGCGGTGCACGAGATCCCGCACGGAGAGTTCCGAAAGGCGGGGCATCACTTCCAGGGGGGCGACCAGCGTTACAGCTTCGCCGAAAAGACAAGGGCGGCGTCGGCAATGGCTGCTCAGGATTGACAGTAGTCGGGGCGTTTCGCTGTTGATCAGAGCAGGAGGAGCACTTGCGCTCTGCGCGGTAGAAGGTCGGGGCAGAGCGCGGGCGGCGCCAGCGACACGCGAGACGAGACATGGGCCACTCGCGCAGTGCGTGTCGCACGGGCCGCGAACAGGCCACGCGGTTTACGCGAGACAAAGCCCGTCACGCAATCGTTCGTCGTCTTCCTGACTGCCCGTCTGGGGTGAACGTCCCGCATGTCTGTCGGGCTCTTGAGCTGACGCCGCCAGACCTGGCTCGTGACGCCACGTGAACCGTTCAATCTTGACAGATCTCCGCTTTCGGTCCCGGAAGCTGCCGGCCTCACCAATCGGGCTCCCAAGTCGGGCAGCTGAGTGATCCGGGATAAGCCTGGTCTGTGCACGGCCCTGCTAGGAGACCCCCACATGTGATCCCAGAAAATGATCGAAACGCCGACCTGGAAAACTCCAGTGCAAACCGAAACTGGATGACATCTGCATGTGGCAACATCTGATCCGGGAGATCTGGGGCCAAGTGACAACCGAAAAACTCTTGTGCAAAAGCGGGACAGCCGAATCAGCAGCTATCCCTGGACACCCCGCGCCCTGATCATTCGAGGCTTTGACCGAAGGGCGTTCTGAACGCTTGCGCTGGCGTCGCCGCCGCGACGCGGCGGCGCGAACCTACCGTAGTTGGGCAGTTCGGAGTCTCCTGACAGTGGGCTGGATCATCAAAAGTGCGCGCGCACACTCCAGTGCGCGCAGGGACGGTGGGGCAGATATCCCGATTCTTCCGCGGCTTGATCAGATGCCCGTGGCGAGCGTGGCCCAAAAACAAACAGTTGTCTTGAACATTCGATGCTACAGTATCCCGCCATCTGGCTTGGCGGCATATGCACACATGTGCCATAGCCGTGCACTGGGGTACCTCCTGCTGTTGGGCTGGGCCACACACGTATGTGCACGTGCAAACTTTGGTGTGCGCAGAGACGCTGGGAATAGATACGTGTTACGCGTGGCCCGCTCGAGAAGCTCGGGATACCCATATGCTGACTTTTGAGGCGCGCGAAATGTACTTTCGCCCACATTGCGCCGGCAAGGCCATCCCCGTGTCAATTCCGCACGAGTCCGCCAGCATTCCTCAAAGTACGATGCGTCAACCTTTGAAATCCCTCGAAGTCGAGGCCGATTCTGGAGCGCCCCACAGGACTCGTCGGCGACCATAGACAGTCCAGACCCTTGGGCAATTGTGCGGAGCGCTGCGCTGCACCGCGTGCAGGAGTCCGCCGCGCGGCCCCCTGCGAAGCGCCTTTCGCCGAGGAGGAGCGAAGCCTGCCCGCGCGCAGGTGCAGCCGAGGCTGATCGGAGAGGACACGCGAGAGGACACAAGACCCTTCCGAGGGCCACACTGACATAGGAATGTGAAATTCATGGGCCGCGAAGCACGGGTCTCAGGGGCACCTTTGATTTGGCAGGGTCGACCTACTACTCAACCTCGATTTTGGAGTCCCGAAACGGCACGGTGACAGACCGTGCGGTGACCTCGGAACCCCAAGAGACCTCACCGCACGGTCCGTCGCCGCACGGTTTTGGGACCCCGGAGGCCCCTGTCGCCCGAGACGTCCTCGGAGCACGACCCGAGCCCCAAAACCGTGCGGTGACCCCGCATCCCCGCCGACTCACCGCACGGCGTGGTCACCACCCCGCTTGGGGGCCCCCGACCGACTGTCAGCGGCCCGCCCCACACGACCCCTCGGCCACCACGGCAAGCACGGCCGCGCGACTCCGGCATCCTGGCCGCAGCTCGGGCCCGCGCGGGGCCCCGGTGCGCACGGGGCGGCCGTTGTCGCACTCTCGCGGGCCGCCCCCCTCGAGGGCGGGCACTCGTTGGCCCAGGTCGCCAGGCGTGCTGCCCGAGGATCCTCAGCAGATGCTTTCGCGCGAGCGTTGTGCTCGTCCGCCGAAGCCCTCCAATGCCGCTAAGATGGTGAACGACGCAGTTGGCGTGATGAAGGAGCAGGAGCAGGAGCAGGAGGAGGAGGAGGAGGAGGAGGAGGAGGAGGAGGAGGAGGAGGAGGAGGAGGAGGAGGAGGGGGAGGAGGAGGAGGGGGAGGAGGGCGAGGAGGAGGAGGAGGAGGAGGAGGAGGAGGAGACGCAGAGTGATGAAAAACACGAGAGCTTTCGAGGGTCCGCGCGGGTTTCCTGGACCGGCGTTGGAGCCAGCTCCTCGGCGCGCGGAGCGCGCCGAGGGGCGGCGCCATGGAGGCGCAGCCAATGGGAGTCCAGCGCAGATCCAAACACAGAATGGCCATTTGAACTTATTATTATGGAGGAGGAAGAGGAGGAGGAGGAGGAGGAGGAGGAGGAGGAGGAGGAGGAGGAGGAGGAGGAGGAACTTATTATGGAGCTGAACGGGGCAAACACAAAATGAACTAACACACGTCTTGAGGATATTCCAGCTCAGTCCTCGCGCCCCCGCGAAAGATCGAACCTCTTGACAGAGAAGACAGCGACGAAGATGCAAACGCAGGGGGACGGACACGATTGGAGAGGACGACCAAATAATCGCACTGAAGATGACGCCGCCAACGAGCCGGCTCGGGACCCAATGTATCGATCATCGCTCAGGGCGCTGCTGCGTGACGGGCCCCCCTGGGCAATTCTTAATCGTAATCCTGGATTTCTCAAGACCGCAGACGCCGTGAATCCTCAACACGTGGGGGCCCTGGAAACCCTCGCCGTCCATCTCCCGGGCCGATCTCTGGTCGCTGGCCCTCTTCTCCAGGCCTCTGGGAGCCAGGGAGGGGACGTCAAGAGCAAACGCCAGACGCTTTGGATGGCTGCGCACTGCTAGGATAACGCCTCCCGTGCTGTGTCTCTTCTTGTAAGCGTTGTGCCCGTACCAGTTGTTCTGCTTGCTTCGCGACGCCCGGAGGTCTGTGCCCTCCCTCTCAGGAGTCCACCACCGAGGCCGCGACGCAGCTCCAACTCGTCGCGCTCCAGGTTGACGAGGCCAAGCGCGTGGCGCACCACTTCGTTCGCCGCCTCGCTGGCGCAGCCTCGGGGGGGGGGGGAGGGCGCCCGCAGTCTTGTGGGGAGCGAGAACCCAGGCCGCCCAGCTTCGCGCACCGTGCCCCGCGAGGCGCGACGCGCGGGTACCTTCGCACCCTCGCGCCGCCGCCCTGGAGAAGGGCGCATCTGCAAGCCGAGGTCCCCGGCCCCGGGCGTCCACCAGCTCTGCTCTCCACGCTGGAGCCCCTGGCAGGACCAGGCAGCATCGAATCGGGGAGCCGTGCATCGGATCGGGCTGCCTCGGCACGGCCTCGAGATCGCATCGGATCCGCTGTGCCAGGATGCACAGCGGCGCAGCGCCAGTGCCGGGCCGCTGCGGACAGACAGAGCATCGAGGTCGAGTCGGATCGGGCCGGCCGAAGTCGACATCGAATCGGGAGGAGGAGGAGGAGGATGGGGAAGGGGAAGATGGGGAGGGGGAGGAGGAGGAGGAAGAGGAGGAGGAGGAGGAGGAGGAGGTTGAGGAGGAGGAGGGGGAGGAGGAGGAGGAGGAGGGGGCCCTGCCCGGGGCCGTCCGCGCCGCGTGAAAGGGTGCTCCGGAGGCCGTGGCTGCCTCCTTGGACATCCCGGGGGCGCCCGGCGCCGGAGGCACCCCAAGGGGGGTGCCCAACGCTGGTCCGAAGCCTCCGCGCGCACCCCCAAAAACTATACACCCTGCGAAATGCTTAAGAAATCATGGGTTAAGAAATTCATCGTCTCAGAACTTGAACAAAAACCCAAAATTTCCATTGAAATCTTAGGATTTACATGGAAACATTAAGAATAATCGAGACTCTGGCCGAAAATTTAGGTTTTCTTAAGCATCGCCTAAGGTGTATACACAGGTTTGCAGCTTTGTCCTGGGCCCCTTGTTCTCTGACGGCTCTCGGGCCCCGGGAGGGGCCCCCCAGAAGCAGAAGCGTGCAAAGCATATCAGGATCCGACCCGCCCTGCGACCCAGCCGCGTGGCTTTGTCGAAGCATCTGCCCCTGCAACGGACTACTTCAAATCCCCTGACTCTGATCCGCAACCGCGGGGGCTATACAACAAGACCCGTTGCCCCCCATGGCCCTCCCTTCCTTCATGGCGATCGGGTCATCCACCCCGCGCGCAGCTTCCCGCCGTGTGACCGCGCGCGGGGGGGGGGAGGGGGACGTCCTACACGCGCGGGGGCGTCGGGCCGCACCTGTGAATCTCTAGAATAGGTGGAGACATCCGAAGCCCAGCCCCCCACCAACCATCGACTCTCCCGAGCAGATGGGGGTCGGGGGTAGGGTTCGGATCTCGCCACGCGCTCGACGAATTCCGAACCCGACCCCCGCCGCCCATCGAGTCGCCTAAATCGTTGATCGGCGAGGGTGCCCATCGGTCGGAAGACGTGGGGTAGGAACATGAAGCAGCATGGCGTTGAGAGTAGACTGGGCCTCCGCCCGCCCCCCGTGAAGAGGAAGGGCAAGGGTAAAGCACTCGATGATTGGCGTAGGAAGGCGCCAAAAGTAGATTGGAATATTGGAGCAGGGGCTCGACTACTGAATGGATTTATCCAGAGCTTGACTTCCCCGCCGAACTTGCGAAAGACACGTAGAATGTTCTCCGCCGGTGTACGGAACGTTCTACGCATTTTTCGTACATCGGGCTGGCAAAAAAATACTGGGCCGCATCAATTATGTAGTCGATCCTCTGCGCGAAATCTGGGAATCGAGGAATGCCTGCCTTCAACACTCGCTGGGTAGGGTTCGGATTGTGCCGCCGATGTAGACTGGGACCTCGGCGCGGGCGCGCGCCCCCGGCAGGGCGGTGCGGCGCGGGGCCGTCCCGCGGTTGGCTCGCCTGCGGTGGCGGGGCCACCTCTCGAGGCAGAGATTTGAACAGAACCTCCGGCTGGAGGATCGGTGTTCGCAGACCTCCGCAGGCGGTGGATGTGGATACATTTCGGCCCCCCGGGGGCCCAAATGTATCCATATCCACCGCCTGCTGGGTCCCCAGGGCGCCGGTTCCACGGGCGCTGGGTATGGATATATCCCCGCCTCGCACGCTTCCTCTTCCTCCGCCTCCCCTCGGCTGCGCGCAAGAGGGACCGTAGGCAAGGGGTGAACTTGGTGCGCTTGCATTTCGTGGGCCGTGGGGAAGGTCAACTCCAGGCAATCCAAGCGCACCAGCCAGTGCTGGTGGGACCCGTGTGCACCCCGCACCAGAAGTCACTCCAGGAAAGGGTCACTCTCACGCGTAGTCGATCTCCTCTTTGCGTTCGGCCTTGACGTTCTTCCAATAAAGGAACCCCGCCACCCCTCCTCCTTTCTCCTCCTGGCCCTCCCACGCGAAAGCCCTTGGAACACCCTGGCCAAAACAAGAACCCCACAGGAACCCCGCGGACCGACCTTCACCCCTCAAGACCTCAGACAGAAGCCCCCCCGCTGTAATAGGAGGGCGGCCAGAACACCTACATAACCAGCACCACAACGACAGATGCCCTTTAGTTGATGCGGCTTGTAAATGGACCGAACGGGGCAGTGTGGTCTAGTGAACGCACAAGGACACTTCGGCAGACGCCGTCGATGGGGCCAGGATGGTTACAGCCGTGCTGCCACCTTGAGGGGCACTGAGTCAGGATGCAGTGGCTTCTCGGGCCACGGCGGACCTTGGCCACGAACAGGTCCCCCAACCCAGCTCTAAAGGAGCGGCCTAAAGTCAGAGCACCTCCCGAGCGCGACGTGGTCTTTTTGTCAGCGTCTTCGCTGTATTCCTCCCTTGGCCGTGCTCCCGCTCCTGTTCCGCTTCCAGAAAATAATGATAAAAAAACTGCATGACCTGTTTGAGGTCCATTCGACTCCCGGGCTCGATGTATATACAACGTCGTTTGGTCTGCCAGGGCGACAATGAGTTCGACACAGGAATTCGATGTGTAGGCGCTCCGGCGTCCCACGGGTTGGGCAGCTGGGGCGTCTGTGTGCACACCGAGCCCCTTGGCCACCGGACGACTTGGTGTATACTTCAATGCACTCTGGGGCGGGGATTCCGCGGTCTAGAACTCCGCGACGCGATCCCGCAGATACGCGGTCGCACAGATACGCTCCGCGCGGGGCATCCGCGACAACACGCCACGTATCCGCGGGGTCGCGGCCCAAGGGCCCGGCCTGCGAGGCCATGGATACGGGTGTGCTCTTCGACCACGAGAGCCCCCTTCGACCCCACATCTCCTCACACGCCCCCGCCCTCCTGTAAACCCTCATGGGGGCCTCTGTGGACCTCCGCGGCCCTCGTTATCATGAACGTGATTTCGACCAGATTTGGTCCAGATTCCGACCACCCCGCTTTACCCATTCGTCCACATGTCAAAAGTGTTGTCCAAATCTTGTCCAAACGACGTCGACCAAATCCGACGAAGTCCGGACGAACTCTCGCAAACAACAAAAAAAATAGGGCCCGACTCTGAGGCTCCCATGAAGGAGCCCACAACCGCCCGGGGCGAGCCTCGACTGCCGAGGGGGGCGCCCTGGAACTCCCGCAGGACCTTCTTCGCGGAGCGCGCCTGCCTCACGCCCGCCCCGGCCTGCGACGCGACCCAGGGCGTCGAGCACGGCGGCGGCAGCAACGGACGACGAACGACGCGCGCGCGGAGCGGACGGGGCACGTTCAGGGCGCAGTGTGGGAGGGGCCATGGATCCGGCCCAGATCTCCAGGTGCCGCGATTCGGGGAACAAGCGATGACGTAAACATAATCTTTCGGAGGTCCGCGTGGACCTCCGAAAATGCTCATTTCTGTTATTGTTTGTTGCCCGAGCGAGAAACACACAAACACACAAACACAATCTCACTCTTGAATTCCCGGCTGACTGATGCAGCGCAGCGAGTCCTAGGGCGGAACACGCCCAGATCAATTAACACCGGGCGTCTGCATGTGGATGGTCAGGACGTGGCTGATGCGTGTAGGGAAAACGGCCATAGCCAATGCACGAGGACACTGGCAAGCAAGTACACGGACGGTCTGGCGACGCCGGTTACCGCGACTCTCTGAAGAGCGCGAGGCGAATGACATGGAGGCAAATGTCGACAAATAAGAAGCACACAATCACACATGCATGAAGGAGGCGGGAGTCGTGGAGGTGGGGGAGCATGAGGGTATGGTATGAGGGGAGCGGCGTGAGGACTGGGGTGAAGCGTGATCGGAGGTAGCCAATATTGTCGCCTCTTCCTCAATATCATCATTCCTTCTGACATATGACGGCGTGGTTGATGCATGCATGCTTGTACCACTGGTTTGCTTGTTTGGCGATTTTGTCACCTGATTGCGTGTTTACTTGATGGCATGCTTGTTTCCTTGCTTTGTCCACTGCTCGCGTGCTTGCAATAGTGCTGGTTTGCGTGCTTTATCTACTGCGTGCTTGCGCGCTTGCGTGCTTGCGTGCATGTTTGCTCGCTTGGCCCACTTGCTTGCGTCTCGCCATGCTTGTTGTTGCTCGCTCGCGACTGTGGTCACATGCGTGTGTTTGTGTGTGTGGCCACCTGCAAGAATTTGTGCTCGAGTGTCATGAGTCATGCTTAGCTTGCTTGCAAGATCGCTTGCTTGCTTGCGTGCGTGCGTTCGTGCTGGCTTGTACGCTTGTTACCATTATCGCCCGCATGGTTGCTTGCCAAACCAGTTTGCTCTTCACGGTTGCTCTAGTGGCATGGAAGTCTTTGCAAGGCCATGTGTGGAGCCACGCCTGCTATATCTGAACGTAGCCTCCGCAGTTACGGATGCCACGTCGTCCTCCTCGCACTGCTTCTGGGAGTCGTAGTGCCAATCTCCACATCGTGCGAGGAGTCTTGAGTGTGCGCGCGTCAGGGTGGGGGTCGTCTTCCTGAGACCCGCTCCTCTTGACCTCTTTTTCTCCTCGAGCGGCGCGATACCGCAACAACACACACACACACACTCTGAGCTCCACGTGCTTTGCGTGCAATGAGGCCCGAACGCGCCTCTAGAGAAAACCGCCGCTGGCGCCGACTGCTTTTGCACGGCGAGCCCGCAAGGGGCGCCACATGTGTGTTGGCTTTGCCATGCAGCGTTGGTGGGTTGCGGGTGTGTCGCGGGGTGTGTCGCGGGGTGTGTTGCGGATGGGTCGCGGGCAGGAGCGCGGTTGGGGCGCAGGGTGTGCGGCGGGGTGGGTTGCGGGTGGGAAACGGTGCTGGGATCGCGGGCTCGGATCGTGGGTAGGTCTCGGGGCGGACGCAGCAAACAATAACGACAGATCCGCCCTGCGAAGCCCCACCTCAGCCGCGCACCCATGGACGGCAACAAGACCCCTCGGCCCGCTCGCTCGGGAGATGCATGTTTCCACTTTTTGGAGCGCGAAGGGCACAGAACCGCGGACATGGTTTCTAGGCGCCGTGCCCTCCTGCGCTCTCTGGTCCGCAGCACCTCGCGGCCCCCCTGAAGGCGGGGCGCACTGCGCAGACAAGAGCAGAGAAGAGACAGGAGAGGAGAGGGAGACGGGGAGAGACAGGGAGAGGCAGGGGGAGAGAGAGAGGGAGAGAACGAGCGAGAGAGAGAGAGAGAGAGAGAAATGCGGAGGAGAACGGAGTCGCGAGCGACGAGCATATCCGTACCCATTCCCTCACGATTCAAGTACGGCCCAAGGATGCACGATCCCATTGATACGCCACGCGCGGGGCATCCGCGCAAAGCCACCTGGTATCTATGGGGTCGCTGCCGAAGACTCCAGACCGTGAAGCCGTGGATCTATGCATATAGTAATGTGTCTGCCTGTCTGTCTGTGTGTCTGTCTGTCTGTTGATACGTCTGTCTGTATGTATGTATGTATATGTGTGTGGTTGTATGTATGTGTGTTTGTATGTATGTATGTATGTATGTACGTATGTGTGTATGTCTGTCTGTCTGTCTGTCGGTCTGTCTGCCTGTCTGTCTGTCTGTCTGTATGTCTGTCTGTCTGTCTGTATGTATGTATGTATGTTTGTATGTATGTATGTACGTATGTATGTAGGTATGTAGATATGTATGTGTGTATATGTGTGTATGTATGTATGTATGTATGTGTGTATGTATGTATGTATGTATGTATGTATGTATGCATGTATGTATGTATGCATGGTGTGTATATGTGTGTTTTAGATGTGTGTGTATGTCTGTATGTCTGTATGTTTGTACGTACGACCTTGCATGTATATATACATTTATTTCTATATATATAAATACATATATATATATATGTGATTGTATGTTTGTATATGTGTATGCATGTATGCGCATGCGGGTATGTGTAGGTATGTATGTGCGTATGCGTGTGTACGTGTGTAGGTATGTTTGTATGCAAGAAGTATGTGTGTATATATGCATGCATGTATGCATGCATGCATGCATGCATGCATGTATGTTTGGATGCATACATGTATGTGCATGTACATTGTATGTATATCTATGTATTTATATGCAGCTATGGGGCCAATCTCGGAGACCCTGAACCCACGCATACTGACGTCTTATATTTTACTGCCGCCACCTTCCGTCGACCCCCCGCTGACTTCCGCTGGCGGACCGCCGCCGGATTACTGCCGCTGGGCTTCCTTCGAGGGCGAAATTCGCGGAAGGCATTTTGTTTTTTTTTCGTGGTTTTTGTTTTTGTCTCTCTCTCTCTCTCTCTCTGGGAAGCCCTGTCTCCCGCACACGAGAAGGGGGCATGGGGAGAGGGGGCCCCTACGTCCGAAGTCGTGTCTTTTTCGCAGCGGCTCCGCTCCCGGAGAGTTCTGGACCTCGCCCCTGGGACGGGCTGCTCGTGCTGAGTCGTTCGTCGGCGGTCATGGTGCCCGATCAAGGCCCCTCGGGGCGGACTACTGTCAAACAGCTGGCCGTGGTGCTTTTGTTTTGCGACGTGGGGCTGTCTGGGTCTGCGGGTCCAAAATCGACCTCCGGAATTGTTCTGGGGTGCGATCTGACCGGACTTTCGAAGCGGATCATGCCGTCGCGACCATACGCCCTCCATCGTCGCAGGAAAAGCAAGCACGTCCGAAAACCCTCGGGGCTCCAAGTTCGAAGGACGCCAGAGGAAGGAGCAGGCGGAGCATGAGCAGGAGGAGGAGGGCTGAAGGCTGCCAGGGGGTCTAGACCGGATTGGCGCCGAGCAAATCGGTGAGGAAGGAGGGAGACAGGCAGAGCCGCTCAAACTCGGAGACCAGGCCATTGTGGAGTGTGCGTTCTGCCTCACGAGACGTGGGCGGTCTCACGCCTCACACTTCTCCTCATCGCCTTCCTCCTCCTCCTCCTCCTCCTTCTTGCCCTTCCTCCAGCACCGTGACACATACGAGTACCTGGACAGCCCGAGGGTACCCTGGGGGACGCCCAGTCGACAGGAAACGCACGAGCCCCGAGCGTGGTCCTTGGAGGTCTAGCCCATTGCCGAGAGGCGTGACATCGGACTTTCGAGGTCCAAGCTCGGGTGAGGGGGGCGCTCTCGCTCTCTCTCTCTCTCTCTCTCTCTGTATCTCTCTCTCTCTCTCTCTCTGTATCTCTCTCTCTCTCTCTCGGTCTCACCTTGCGCTCGCCTCACGGAGGATCCCCTCAGTAAGAGAAGGATTATTTAAAACCAATTTCTTTAACAAGGATCCAGAATCCTTAACTAAGGAGTTCTTCGGCAGGAGGACATGGGTGCGAGGCCTAGCTGCTTTCTCACACAGCCCGCCACACAGAGGGGGGGCGTGACAGGAGAGAAGGTTAGCTTTTTCTCGCTCTCTCTCTCTCATTTTTTGTTGATGCTTTGTTATTGTTTCTCTCTCTCTCTCTCGTTCTCTCTCTCGTTCTCTCGTTCTCTTTTTTCTCTCTCTTTCTCTCTCCCTCCTTCCAGCTTCACATTCACGCAAAGCCCAGCCACTGAAACCCCGATCGGACGCCATGCGAAAGCCTCCGCTGGGGGCATCGTTAGAAACCATAATACGGCCGCTTCTAACAAGGGCCCGTAGGAATCCTTCCTTTTAGAAAGGGTCCCTGTTTAAGGATTTCTTTAGTGAGCATGGATTTGCAAAGCCACCTGCATCAAGGGACCCCGAAGGAGTTCCATGTAGTGAATGGGTCGTGGTGCGCGCACCTTTGGTAAGCATTCGTCAGTAAGGATGCCTTAAACCAAGGCGTCCTTAGTACAGACCCATGTAGTGAGGAATCATTCGTGGGGATGTCTCTGATAAAGGATCCCCTCAACAAGAACCCCATGTTATAAAGGGTTGTTGCTCATTTTTCCCTTGACACGGCCTACGCGGACACGGATTACTTCGGAATGCTGCCTTGAGTCATGGGGCCCGTAGTAAGGATGCGTGTAGTGTGGCGCCTTAGTGTGGATAGCTTTCGTGAAGGTGCCCTCAATGAGGACCCCTGCGGCAACGATTCCTTACTGCTACCCTTTTTAAAACCGGATTCCTTAATACGGGTGTCTTCAGCTGAAGACGCGTTCATTAGCAATTTGTTGTTTACCAAGGGGCCCTTATTCCGGATTTTTTTAGTTTGGAAGATCATCGTGTGGACGCGTGCATGAAACACTCGTTTTAACGGACGCCTTTTACCAGTGA